GGGGACCTCAGTCCTACAACTGCAAGGAACTGAATTTACCCCACAACCGGAATGAGCTTGGAAGCAGATTCTTCCCCAGAGCCTCCAGAGGGAAATGCAGCTCACCTGACACCTTAATTTCAGCCTTCTAAGACCCTGAGCAGAGGACCCAGTTACAATGTTTCTGAACTTCTGACCCACGGAACTGGGAGCTGATAAATGGGTGCCAGCTGCTAGGTTTATGGTGGTTTGTTTAGCTGCAATAGAAAAGGAACTCAATAATGTTGCTGATTCATTAGGCTTTACTTATCTCTAAATTAGTTTTCTACTTTGATCCTTTGCCATCTCCTGCTCTGCAGGGAATTCAAGTGAGGAGACCCTAGGATAGCAAAGAGAAATTGAACACACTAAATAAAAGTCACAGTGCTAATTATTTGTACCTGTTGGAGAACAGAATTGTTACTTTCAGGAAATGACCTTGCTGATGTAAATTCGTGAGAAAATGTCCACAGCCATAGGAAGTCCTCAAGCTGTCTCAAAGTCTGAGGGTAGGAATAGGGCCTTTCTAACTTGCTCTTGAGCACCTGTGATATTTTCATTAGTGAAAGGGTTAAAGATAAGCCCAGAGAAGCTCCATCACTCTTCCTGAGCACTCTACCTGTTCAGGGAGCCACCCTGAAGAGAATGGTGGAGTTTAAGCCTGAAAGATTTACTTTCTCCAGGAATGAGTCACTGAGAATCTGGGCTATAACACATGATTCACTCACTTGGGTTTCTAGAAAAATATTCTACAAGTGATTCAGAAGAAAAGTCAATATGATTTCATGGCATGAGAGCATGGAAGGGAGGGTAACCAGAGGATGGCAAAGCTCTAAAAAATGTACTTCAAATTGGCCAGTTGTGAACTTGGTCAGTAAGGAATTAATGAGGAAAGTCCCTCAAGAAGCCTGTGTGGCAACACCATGATTGGCTTCACTCTTGATTGGACTGACTCAGAGTTTCACAGAGTACATATACAAAGTAGACAAAAAGACATATAACCAGGAACTGTTCTACCAGCAAGAATCATGCCTGGAGCCCAAACCCAAGTCATGTTATGCAGAATAAATAAAGGTGATTTTCCAATACTTATGTCTAGAGTAAGGAACAGTCGGGCCCACTGCTTAGGGTGAATGATGTCCAGATGGTCAAGAGAAAGGTTCCTCAGCTCCTACTTTGCTTCTGTCCTGCTGGTTTGTCAGGGGATATTTGAAAGCAAGAGAAGAGCTAACTGCTCTATGTAAATTAAAGTCTTCTGACCTGGATTAAGCACATTCTAGCAGGTTCATACAGTTTGCAAATAAGAGGGATGAACCATTGCACGTGGTCTTTGAGAAATCTTGATGAAGAAGAGAAAAGTAGGAAGACTGGGGATGAGCAAAGAACATGGAACTTTGTACAAAGGAGATAGATTTTGCAAAGTGTAGATGAAGATGATGGCTTGAAGTCAAGGCCAGGCAAGATCGTCGAGAGATGGCTCTGTGTCTACCTGGTGGAAGAAGCCGAAGTTTCCAGCAGTCAGTAGATTAGGTCACATTTCTCTCCTTGCTTCTTGCACAGAGTCACTAATTGGTTAGGGAAATATAGGAGGCATAATGTACTTTGACTTCAGCCAACGCTTAACAATGCCCTGTGAACAATGTAGGGAAATGACGGCTGTGCATGAGCTTAGAAACTGGCTGGACGACTACTTGAAGCTTGCTTCTCAACGAGTTGATGTCAAATCCAGGAATATGCAGGACACGTGTCACTGTCTACAGTCATCTTCAGTTCAATGTTTTCATCAATCAATGATTAAAAATATACCATAGAGGATGAAACCATACAGGAAAAAATATAGAGAAAGCATGGATGATTAAAATTGGGAGGAATACTGAGTAGATTGGATGAAACAAGCAGTGAAGGAAAGTACTGGATTCTTTTCACTGTCTCCAATGCTGTATTTTCTCTTAAAAAAAAAACTTAGCAAATTTAGTGCACAAAAATGGCCTCTCAATGTTTTAATTAGCATTTTTATTACTTGTAAGAGAGCAGTTGGTCAAAGGTTTATTAATCGTCTGTAATCATGTTTTATATGTGATTTACCTTTTCATAGAATTTGCTCATTTTGCTATTGAGGTATTTGTCTTTTCCTTATTAATTTGTAACACTCTCTCTATGTTAACTCCTTGCATATTAATTATTCTAAATATTTTGCCCAGTTTTCCATTTGCCCTTTAAGCTTGCTTGTGATACTTTTTGGTATACAGAACTGTATGATTTTTAATATAGTTGGATCTCTCATTCTCCTAAGGTTTCTGTATTAATAATTATGCTTAGAAAATTCTTGCTTTAATATTTGGTGAATATTCACTTATATTTTGTCTAATTTTTTTAGGTTTCAATTTAAGTCTTTAATCCAGCTGGATTTTATTTTGGTACATAGTATAACTAGTGATCAAAGTTACTTTGTTCTAAATGGTTAGCCAATTTTCTCAACACTAGTTATGAGTAATGTATCATTTCCACAATGGTTTGAAACAAAACAATAACTAACAATAGCTACCATAGGCCAATTGCTTACTGTGTGCTGGGCACAGTTCTAACATGTATTAACTCATTTATTTCTCACAATAACTCTATAAGGTGGGTACTATTGTTATCATTCCCATGTTATTATATCATCCCTCAGTGGGAAACTGAGGCACAGAATGGCTGAATAACTCACCCTAAATCACAGTTAGGAAGCAGTGGTGTTCAAATACAGACTTGGACAACTTGACTCCAGTATTCAAGCTCTGAGATTATTTGATATACCCATGTCTATTTTGAGGCTTTCTATTTTGTTCCAATGTATTCATTCCTATGCTGCTACTGCACTGTTTTAATATCTAGTAATTCAAGTCACTCCCCCAATTTTTTTCTTTACTAATTTCTAATTTAACCACAGCTGCTCCTTCCATTTTATAATATAGCTTCTTAAAATACCAAGCCCTTTTTCTTCGGAATATTAAAAGTAGCCAAACAATATAAGCCATGTTTTTCTGGAAAGTCTCTTGACAACACTTCCTGAGGTAATAGGTTTTGCAGGGCTCTTTAGCAAGAGGTGTATTCCACGGCTGCTTTTGCTGGCGCCAGCTGTCCTCTAGAGTCTCCAATAAAACAAACTGCTCTTAACCCGGCTGTAGAGATATGAGCAGTGCTGATCAATAGAACTTTCTGCAATGATGGAAAGATGTTAAAGCTGTGCTATCCAATATGGTAGCCGCTAGCCACACGTGGCTGCTGAGCACTTGCAGTGTGCTTGAAATTGAGCACTTGAAATAGTATGACTGAGAAACTGAATTTTTAGATTTAATTTAATTTAGATGTAAATAGCCACATTGTGGCTAGTGGCTACCGTATTGGATAGCTTAGATTAGATGATGAAATAGTTAAGTAGCTTGAATTGTTCTCAAGTGTGCCTTATTCACTGCCAGGAAAACAAGTCATGTACATTTTGAGGGTCTCAAGTCCGGGGGCTACAATTTTTCCCCTCAAGCCTCTCCTCTCTTACAGTAACAGATCTTTGCTTTTGCTGTTTCCAGCTCTTCCAAGGCAGGGCTGGATTACCCAAGGGGCAGACGAAGCACATCCCTGGGGCATTGGTAAAAGGATGGTACAGAAAAAGGAAATACTTTGATATCCCAACAATGACAACCGCAACAAATCATCTGGCAAAATTTGGACTTGGGTGCACTTCCTTACACTTATTCTATGGCTTGGTGATATTTTTATTTTTAATTCTATACATGCAGAGTCAGCCCCCAAGATCTTTTCAATGTCTGTTGGCACGATTGCATACAGAATTTTGTTCTTCCAGAGAGGAACTTGAACTACTGCAGCCTGAGCCCCCATCATCATCAGCTTGTGCAGGAAATGTCTGGACTTGCACCCCTGACTTCTGTGGGGGAACATGGCCTGCTCTGCTGCAGACAGAGCTGGATGCATCTGCACTGGAAAAGCACAATGCTGTGGTCAAAAGCAAAGACTGGAGCCAGACAGCTTGAGTCTGAATCCTGGCTCTTTCATTTACAAGCTGGGTGACCTTGGGCAAGTTGCTTTACCACTCCCTGCCTCAGTTCCTCGTCTGTAAAATGGGAATAATAATAGTCGTCAGGGTACTATTGTTATACTGGGTACTATTATTATAATACCTGGTACTATGATGATGGTACCCACTGGGTGGTTGGGAGAGGTAATTAGAACCGTGTCTGGCACATAGTAAGCGCTAAATAAGTGTTTGCAAATTAAGATGAGAACTTTAGAACATGATGCTCTGATCCAGTCACTTGGCCCAAATGTGCAACTCAAATGTGGGTGTTTTTCAGTTTATAACCAGGGATCTCCCTGGAGTTGGCATGTGATGCACCCCAAATAGAACATATGTATGTCTTTCAAAGAGCTTTTACATCAATTTTCTTATTTTATCCTCACGGCAACCTGCTAAGCGGAGCAGGGAGGTACCACCCTCGTTGATGTGTAGGGAAAATGACAGATGACTATCCAACAGAGAGGATTTGTTTGCTCTATTTGACCACTGTGCTAACTATCATTTTTGGAGCAAAAATCCAAGTGATGTCAGAATGACTTCTTCCTTAATACAAAGGAAAACTGCCCATGAAAATCTATCAGTGTCATTGACTCGGGAGAGGACTAACAGAAGCACCACAGTGTGATGTATTTGTAAGCTCAACAAGATCAGCCTTTTTATCCCTTGTAACTTGAATGTGCCCTGGTTTTACATTTCCTTTTCAGAAATACCCTGGAACTGTGTTTTCTTGAGGCCCTCCATCTTCAGGGCCAACTCAGGGGGCAGAGAGGCTCTCTGGGCTTTCTTAGGATGGTTTGTTAAATGGGCCCAAGCTCTGGGGTAAAATGGAGTGAGCACAGGTGGGTGTGCACCTTCTGGGAGGGCCGTGAGTCCACGTGCTGTGGGCTTAGTGTGTGGTTTTGTCCCGCAGATTCTTCACTCACGCTAGAGCAGATGGTGGGCGTTGGGCTGGGCTCCGTGGCTGCTGTGATTGTTCTCGCATTCCTCTCCTTCTCAGCAGTGTGGTATGTGAGACTGTCATTTTTGAGAAATGAATGGAATGGAGGGAGGTTGGGGTTGGTGTCATGGAGAACAGCTGGGATTGAGGAGGGTCAAAGGAGATGTAGGTAGAGGTTGTCCTGGGCTCAGCAGACACTCGGCAGGTGAAAGGCATGAGTGACTCTGCACCTCAGGGTGGAGAGGGGGATGCCCTCCTGGCCCAGGAAAAGAGCAGGGCTGGTGATGGCTGCCCTGGCTGCTCACAGAGTGATGGCTGATCTCCAGGCTGCTTCCCGTGAGTGTGCATGAGCTGCACACAGGGAGGCGCCATGGGAAAACCAAAGTGTGTCAGTGGACTCTCTTTTCCTCCTCTATGTCTAGACTGCAGATGGGCGCTACGTGAGAAGGATGCACTGCTGCTGGGACAGATGTTATGACAGCTTCTCAGGTGCCTGCACAGAGGCCCCATGTGGCTTCCATCCAAGTGTGTATGTGAACCTGAAACTTTCCCCATTTCCAGCTTGGCCCCATTCTTGGATTCAAGATGGTGACTATCGCTATGGAATCCCCTAAAAGGAAGAAACTCAGGAATTGCTGACGACGTCCCTGCTACACGACCAGTTCTGTGTCTATGAACTTGAGACTCCTGATGTACAATGTGATATTGACCACAGGCTACAGATCACATGGGCTGGGCCCATGACTTCCTCTGAGTGATGCCTGAGAGTCAGCTCCTCTAGACACTGAATGCAAGAGAGTGTCTGCATCTTCCTTTATAGCATCTCTGTGAATTATTTCAGAACCCATTCTTTTACAATAAGCAATGAAATGGACTTAAGTTTGGGCTAGAATTTGACTTGATGAAGGCAGTCATCAAAAAGGATAGAGACCATTGAAGTAGGAAAACTTGTCAAACACTTTAAAAGCAGCTTTTTATTTTTTCTTACAATTAATTGACATATAATTAGAAGGGGTGCTAGCTTGGCTACTCTGATAAGCTCCCTGCAATGTCCGTTAGGCGGCATTGCTTTGATGCAGTTCCATTTGTCTTATATGTATTCAAAAGCCGTAAGTCTTCATTCCAGTAAAAATATTCTGTTACATTAGACAGTTCTTGTCTTCTACATGAATGTTTATAGCAGCCTTGGTTATTGTTTTTTATTACTGAGCGTCTCCTAAAAATGCTCTGTGCCTCCCTTTAGATTCAGTGGTCGTGTAGTGACAATGGGTTGAAATGATATCAGGCCCATGGCCGGAGCCCATGTGTTTACAGGGAAGGGGCATCAATGTGGGTGACATGATCATCCCTTTCATCTACAGCCTGAGTGACTGGGACTGTTATCATGAACCATGGCACATTAGATGTAAGCAGCTCTGGGCCTACTATTAACACGTGGAATTTATAGAAGGTGTGTATTAGGTTTAACTTTTAAAGCCTGAATCAGTATTCTTTAACTTTCCCCCCTAACCGACAGTGTAACTCCAAGTTCAGTGAGAACTTGTAAGAAATGAATGGAGAAGAAAGCCAGAAGCTTGTGGCTTCTCCAAGTAGCAGTGGTATCTCCTTCTTCTTCTCCCTCCCTTTCTAGGCCTGGAGAAGATAAAGCATGGGGGAAGAAGAAGGGGGCCAGTTATATTGCACAACCTCAGGGGACAGCATATGTGAACGTGGTCCCGGAATTGGGCAACAGGGCGGTCCTGAGGAAAAGGGACAATCTTTCCAACATGGTGGGCTGGCGTTTCTCCACTGGCTTACTGGGCGTTAGTGAGGGACAGATCTGAGTAGCCTGGGCTTGTGGGCAGATGAGGAGACAGTAGGAACAATAGGAACAGGTGGAAACTGTCTATGAAGCTGCTCCACTCTGGGGGATCCGGCGCAAAGAATATCCACTCAAATGGGAAGAGGCAGGGAGAGGGAGGTGATATCCTGACACTTGGGTAGTCCATGCCATTATTAGGCAGTATTAGGAATAATTGTCCTTGGGCTGGCCCCGTGGCTTAGTGGTTAAGTGCGCGCGCTCCGCTACTGGCGCCCCGGGGTTCGGATCCCGGCGCGCACCGATGCACCGCTTCTCCGGCCATGCTGAGACCGCGTCCCACGTACAGCAACTAGAAGGATGTGCAACTATGACATACAACTATCTACTGGGGCTTTGGGGGGACAAAAAAAAAGGAATAATTGTCCTTGGTCCTCTGAGGTAGTACTTTGGCCTATATCTTAGGATCAACGTTTAGAACCCTTCCTGCTCTCATCTTAGATGAATGATAGAGTAGAACTCTCAATAGAATAATACAAATAGCTTTCAATTTTAATTTTTATATGCAACAATTCAAACTCATACTATTTTCACATCTCTTGAATTAAATTTAGAATCATTGCAAATTATTGTGGTTAGTATAGGGTAGGGTCTCGGATGAGTAAGGATTTTCCTCAAAGCCTCTTCTATCCAAAGACAGAATCTGAGCCTCCCCGCCATATTATTATTATTTTTTACCGGTTCTGTAAACGCCATATGTTTCTATAGCCCCCCTAATTTCCAGCTCTAGAATGAACTGCTAGAGAAGCTACAGTTGTCCACATGGGAGTTCAGCATAATTGTCATGGAAAGGAAAAAATCCCACTTGCTTAGTATCAAAAGTTTCTGGTTAAAATAACTGACTAAATATTAAGGAAAATGTTCTTCTGGGTACAGTGCAGAAATGTAAAACCAGTTCATGAAAGAATACTAAAATGGCAAAAACATGGACTTTGTCACTTCCTCTAAATGTTCCAAATTATAACACAGAGTTGCACAGTGTTAATACTTAACAGAAGCAGGTGCTGAGCGTTTGCAAAGAGAACGTACCGTTTTTCTACAGTTCCTTTCTAATTATTTTCTCCTAAATGTGAAGGCAGCTTTAAGTTCTCTGAATTCTCCTGGTAGCTTTACCACAATACTGTTCTTTTTTTTTCAAGTGGATTCCTGTTTAACGGGGGAGGGCATCTCAGGAGACTGATAGTGAGTCTTCCTGGGAAAATGCAGGCTGCTTCTGTTGAAGGACTGATCAGGCAGCACGTGGAGTTGGGTTATGAGTGCCACTGAAAAAAGCTAGATCCTGGGGGCGGGCTGGAAGAAGGATCTTTTCCCAATTAACTGTCTTGGGGACAGTGTGTAGAGGGGAGCACTAAGATCCAGTCTTGAGCTCCCTTCTAGACTAGGAGTCAAAATTGGGAGGTTGCCCAGATAAGAAGCAGATTATTCCCTGGCTGATTTTCTGTGTGTGTGTGCCCATAGTTTTTATTTATCTCCACCATGGTTTTTGTTTATATGCGTTCTTCCATTCCATCCTCACAGCAGTTCTGTGTGGTGGGAAGATTAGAGGTTATTTTTTTCCCATTTTAGAATGGAGAAGTGGGTTCAGACAGATACGTGACTTGAATTGTGGGGCTAGTTCTTCTGACCGCAGGTCTAGTTCTCATTCCTGGGGTTTGATCGACCTTGAGCTAAACTTTGGCCAGTGCTTTTGGGTCTTGAGAGAGTCAGGCCTGCACATTTCTAAACAATATATATATTTGTAACCATTGCCTTTGCTATTATAGCACGTGTCTTTTTATACCTCTCTTTTCACTGTAAGGTACCACCTCCCATCACTTCTAGAAGGAGCCACCAACAACCAAATAGATGGAGGTTAATTAGGGGAAATAGGTAACAGTCTGTCTCTGACTCAAGACCTGAAATTGCAGCTGGGCGCTTAAGCTAAGACCAGAGCAGAAGTGATTATCTTGAAATTCCACATTAGCTTGGAATAAAGTTAATATTTAAATCGATTTTAAAGGAAGTAAAAAAGAATTCTCAATGCTCCCTTTTTATTGCTAATCTCACATTCTGATTTTCTAAACCTTTTATTTTTCCGTTCTATTTATCTAAGAGAAAACCAGTGGTAGTAGTCAATCAGATAGTGTTTTAAGGACCTTTTGCCTACCACACCATTGTTGGTTCAACTGAAGTGCCCAGTTTTAGAGGGGAGAGAGGGTGTGGCTTTTCCTGTGCTCAAGTTTGAGGGCGGGTGATACAATGAAGCAAATCAACTTTAAAAAACGGTGTAAGCTCATTGTTGCAGAGAGAGAGAGAGAGAGAGAGAATGAATGAATGAATGAATCATTCTGGTGATGTGTGTGTATGCGTGTATCCATATCCATACTTTTTTGGCACAACTCAGGATTACCAAAATGGGGTCACACTATGCATGTGGTTTTGTAACATGCTTTTTTCATTCATCGACCTATCCTGGGCATATTTTTCATGTCAATAATGACTGCGTTAAAAGTTGGTACCATAATTTATGTAACCAGTTCTCTATTATGCATTGTGCATTTAGAGTGTTTCCAGATGTTTACTATCCCTATGCAAGTCTGTATAATTGTATGCAAGGATCACTTAGGCTAAAGTTCTAGAAGTGAAATTGTTGGAATGAAAACTATATATGTTTTATGTTTACTACATGTTATCAGAGGAATCTCACAGAAAGTCTATACCAGTTTACACTCTCGCCAGCAGACAGCCTCAACGCCACTGGGCTTTGTTGATATCTTTAATCTTGGTTAAGCTGGTAAGTGAAAAATGATGTTTTAGTGTTTTGTTTGCATTTCTCTGACTGTTTTGCGTGTTGATTGATCATTTGTCTTTTTTCTCAGTACTTGGCTTGTTTGTCTCTTGTAGATTTGAAAAAGCTCTTTGTATCATAGAAGTTTTCACTCTTAGCTATCATATATTTTGTAAACAAATTTTCTAGTTTACCATTTCCCTTTTGACTTTGCTTGTGTCCTACATTGCTACAAAAACACTTTAAATTAGGAGAGTCAAATTTATCAGTTTTTTTCTTTATGTATTCTGCCTTTGGTGCCATGCTTAGAAGGACCTTCCAATCTCAAGGTAATAAATATAATTCAGCAGTTTTAAAAATATTTAAATCTTTAATCATCTGAAATGTATTTTCGTATGAGGAGTGAGGTTGTGGGGGGAATCTTTTTTTATTTTTGCTGAAAGGTTTAGCCAATTGACCTATTATTGTTCGTTGACTGTTATTTTTTTCCCCTAGTGATTTGAATTGTATACTGAATCATGTACTAATGTCTATTTCTGAACTTTCTCTTTTGTTCTCTTGATCTATTTCTGTGCCAATACCACCTGCTGTAACTTAAAAATAGGTTTTTTTATACCAAGTAAAAATAAGTTACCATTCTTTTTCTGTTAATTCTCAGCTTTTGTTATATATTTATTCATGTATACATATTTATCGTACATAAACTAAAGAATTATTTGGTCAATTTCCTCCCAAAATCTTAATATTTTTCTTGGGGAAGTGTTAAATAAAGAGTGTTCCTATCCCAAAACATGATATGTGTCTCCATTTGATTTTTTTGTGTGTCCCTGTTCAGAGTATTCTAGTTTTCCACTTATGAGGTAATTAGTGCATGCTTAATTTTTGTTGTGTACGTCTAGATACTTTATATTTTGTCACCCTGAACTCTCGAGTCACTACCTCAGCTCCTGCCCCC